AATAATAATAATAATAATAATAATAATAATAATAATAGTAATAATAATAATAATAGTAATAATAATATTATTTATTCTAATATATATATATATAATTAAAATAACATTAATTATATTAATAATAATAATAGTAATAATAATCAAAAAAGAATAATGATAATAAATTAGGAACCACGTATATAGTATAAATTAGAATGAAAAAATAGAAATAAAAATAATAAAAAGGAAGAAACAATATTAAGTTAAACGTACACTATTATTATTTTTTTTATTATTGTTATTGTTGTTGTTATTATTTCATTCAATTGATTAGGAATATATTTTATAAATTATATACGGTGCTATATTATATATCTTATTTATCCTTGTAAATACATATACATATACATATACAAATTATTATATAATACCTCGAAAACATTTCTGTTTCCCTCTTTTTTGTTGTTGTTGATCTTAATAAATGAAAAGGGTTTCTTTTTTTACTTGACATAAATGGGGTAAGAAAAAATGAAATAATAAAAAGAACAAGAGTTGGAAACAAATTTGTTAATAACTCGTACCAACTCTTCTTTCCACCCTATAACAAATCTTCTTCTTCCCTTTCATCGATAAGTTTAGAAGGAGAGGAGAGAAACATATATTTTCATTTAGATGTTCTTTTTTTTTTAGAATTAGAAAAAAGAAAATATGTTTAAATACGTAATAACTTTTTTCTTCATATATATATATATACATACTAAGAGTAGAGTCAAACATGTTTCTTGGTTGGAATTTTATAAAAAATTAATTAATCTTTTTCAAAATCATTAAATAAGTTTTAATTATTTTTTTTTAATTTATAAAATTATAAACCCTAGTAGCACAAAATATTGAAAAATAATTGAATACATGTGTATTTAATGTTAAATATACATTGAATCTCTTTTTAATATTAAATACACATGTATTCAATATTTTTCAATATTTTGTGTTACTAGGGGTACTAAGCTAGCTCGTGTTATAAATATTAGCCAAATTTTTAAAGAGATTAGTACTTTTTAAAAATCTTGGAAAAAGAATAATTTATATTTAAAAAAAAATCAACCCAAACATTTTTTATTACCTCCTCTCTATCTTTCCCCGTTTATATAAAAAGAAATGTTAATTTGTTTCAAGTTATTCTTTTCATGAGGACAAATTTTGAAACGATCGATAGGCTTGTTAATTTTTCAGTCGTTTTCATTTTTTTCTTCTTTTAATCTTCTTCTGTTTTTTTTTTAATATATACATACGCATATA